GTAAATCAATATGTTTACTTCCTTTTATTACATGTGTTCTGTTGAGGCGCAGCTCACCTCTGTTTGTTGGTTGAGAGGTCTCTGAAGCGGGTACAGGCACACTAGTGTGGGAGAGGTGAGCTGCTCCACTGTTGTTTTTTCTGTAATTTGTCCCGACTACAGCGCACCTTGTATAAACCAACATTACCCGACACGTAGTGAGCACACCGGCTTCCATTCATAGTACATTAAAAAAGTTGTCAAACCTTAAAATTGCTAACAGATGCTAAGAGATAATGATCACTTAAACGTGTACTGGCAACATACTGGTAGATAAAACAATGTACAACAAGTTGGGCTACAACTAACAAGTCAACTGATCGAATATTTAACTCTCGATTCATTAATAAATGAGTCCACAAATGATCAAAAACATTTGGATAAATGTCTCTTCAGCTTGGTAGAGAAAAAAATAAAGTCTGAAATTACTTGTGATGTCCTTTTATCCGACTCAAACCAAAACATATTTAATTTAAAAGTGATTAAAATCTGTGGGAAAAAGCAAAAAGATAATCTTTTAAAAGCTGATTTGTGCTTCTGAAATTAACATCTTTGTATATTTTGATTAATTCATTGACTGTTTGAGTTGTGAAATCAACAGCTGTCGGTGTTTCCCGGATTATTTGTGTCTGTATTTAGGTCATAATTACTCAGAGGAATAAGTTCTGTATAATAATTTAATTAGTTTCGGTGTTCCCTGATTAGGTCTTCTGAATTCAAGGTCCAAAGTGTCTATCTCTCTCTCTCTCTCTCTCTCTCTCTCTCTCTCTCTCTCTCTCTCTCTCTCTCTCTCTCTCTCTCTCTCTCTCTCTCTGTCGGCTCATACTCTTTCCAGATTTTTCATTATTCTGACCTTGTTTAATTTTCTGTTTGTTTGTTTTCCCTCCATCCCTCTAAACACACAAACACACACACACACACACACACACAAATCTTGGCAGCTTCAACGTTAGCCACCTCCCCTGTGTTTGGGATAAAGCCGAATCTTTTCGCTGGAGGATGTGATGGTCATGGTTGTGGGTGTGTGTTTGGCCGTGTGTTAGAGTGTAACTGATTGAGATGGATGAGGAGCAGAGCGTCTGTCTGATGGTGCATCTGCTTGTCTCTCTGTGTGTGTGCTTTTTGTTCATGCATATATTTCCAGAAACACTTGATAATATCTCTATATATGAAGATGTGTTTGAGTGTTTATTAGAGGGGGATTGAGACAGTGGAAATCATGTCTACCCTCTTGTCCAAATACGGTCACTGAAAGCTCCTAGAAACAAGAAAGTGATGGCAAAATACAAAACTCTAGGTACTTAACAGTTCTGAAGGACCCACCTTAGGCAATGGTTGGCTATAGGTTATATTGGCTATTTGTTTATTTCTTATAAACTTATTAATTTGGCACGCTCCAATAGCCCTGCACTACAGGTGTTCGCTGCTTCTTCTTTTCTTTTTTTTGTTTCATTAAAAAATTAAGCTAATTTTGCCAGGTTTTTTTGCCAGCAAAGCTCCCCAGTCATTGGCCGTATGACCTGGCAGGAAGTCCCGCCCCCTCTCTCTCGACAGCCATGCAATACAACCTATCCAGGACAGTGTTGCCGTAACACTATCTTCAGTTACTTCTTCCTTTCCGGTTTATTAAATCAACTAGTAGACATAGTCCTCAATTCTGGTGACCTGGGTTCATCTCCATCTACTGACCTCCTCTAAAAAAAAGCCTGCTCAATAATATTTATTTTCTTTGTTTTTTTTCAAGCAAGTGACTGTGGGCAAAACTTTTCTGGCCGCTCTTCAATGCTGGAGTAGATTTCTGAAAGTAAATAGTTTGATTGTGATTTCACCGAGGAGTTTGTTGGAGAGATTTACGGCGAAGCCCTGAGAGGTTTTGATTGTTTGGACCTGAAACCAGGCCGAGTGATTCATTCAGCAATCTGTCTGTTTTTCCAAGAGAGGTTTTCATTGTGTTTGGAATATTTTCCCTCTCATACGGGACCGTTCCTTCATTGTGCGTGCGTGCGTGCGTGCGTGCGTGCGTGTGTGTGTGAGAGCACTGAGCCCCCATGATGACTCATTCAACATTTTCACAAAGACTCAAAGCGATGGAACAGAGTGTATCGGCTCGGCTGACAGAAATAGCAGCGAGGTAGAAGTCTGTGCGGCTTCAAAACTTTATATTTATTGGCTGTGTTTTTTATCTCTTGTTTTTCTTCTATTTTTCCACTTTAACGTCCAGCTTTGACACAACTCCGAGTCCACTTCATGACCACGAGGATGTGGAAGCTAGTTCATTATGTAATGTTTGCTCTTTCTTACATCTGGAGAAAAAAAGATTTGCAGGACATTGCATCACTGCAGCACTACAGAACTTTGAAATGATGATGTTTTGTAACACATTATGACCTTTATTTAACAGTTTCCTGTTTTGGCAACTTTTGAATTACACTTGATCAGCTGTCTGTCTCAGTATCCAGGTTTTATGCTTAAAGAAATGTTGTGCTATCCCTTAAAGATTTCCTTTATAAATGAAGAGGTTATGGGGCGCTGGAAATCCTAGTGCAGGGGTGTTGAAGGTGCACACCCCTGCACTAGGCTATTTGCGGCCTGTGACTTCAAGCGAAGAATCAGCAGACTGTTGTTTAACCATTCAATAACCTGAGCTTTTGCAGAAAAATGAAACATGTTACAGGTTTGATTTGCGAGCCTTTTGATTCTGATCTACAAAGCCTTACTATTTAAAAAACACAATAGTTTCTCACAATTTTGGCCAACAGGAAAAAAAGTTTGGATACCACTGGGCCTAGTGGTTATGTTGCAGGCCTCATGAACAGAGGTCGTTGTTGTAATCGTGGGTTCAAATCTGACCTCTGCCCTTTGCAGCATGTCATCCCCCTCTCTCTCTACTCCTAACATTTCCTGTCTCTCTTCAGCTGTCTAATCCAATAAAGGCAAAAATGGCCCAAAAATATAATTTAAAAAAATAGAAGAGATACTTTAAGGGGCCAGACCAAAGTTTACCGGGCTGTCCACCTGCTTTTGTTGTCTGTTGTATCTTTTGTGCGTCCCTCTCTGTGGAGTTTGGAGCTTGTTATCAGTGGCTTTAATCGTGCTTCTTGCTGCACATGCTAATCACTTCCCTCTCTTTGGGATTGTTGAGAGAGTTCAGGATATCTCTCTCTCTCTCTCTCTCTCTCTCTCTCTATACTTCTGTCTCCCTCAAAGCTCTGATGTCATCATAATTCATGTAGAGAATCACACACACATATAACTTTACCCCACCCTGCGTGATGCATCACAAACTTGTCACAGGCAGCTTTGCAGACGAGGATGAAACGGGAGTGATGATCAGAAGACGCGGCGGCGTTCTCTGCTTTATTCATTCATGCTTCCTCGCTCGTTCCTCTCCTGCTAACTGGCCTACATACAGCACAGGCTCACACTATCACACACTCTTGTCTTCTCCCGTCACGCTACATCACCTCTCCTCCTCCTCTTCCTCGTCCTCATCCTCAGTCCCTGTCTCACCGTTTCTGAATTGTATTCATCACATCATCTTACACTCCTCCTCCTCCTCCTCCTCCTCCTCCTCTCTTTAGACTTTATCCTCCCTGACAGTGTCTTCCACATCACTGCTTCTACTATTGCAGTTTTGCAAGTCAGTCTTAACATTTTGTTCAGCCTGTATACATGTTTATAAAAAGGGCTGCCTGGAAACAAATCAATTTAACATAAATTTACAAGAGAAACAATATACCCAAACTTTCCAGATGTGGAACAGTCACGACTTCACTGGTACAAAAACAAGCTGGTTATAAAACTGAAGCCAGACTCGATTCAGTCATTCATTAGTGGAGTTTTCTCCCTCGTCCTCCGTTGCAGCTTTTTCAATTTGTCACATCTCATCAGAGTTTGTCACTAACTCTTTACTCGACCTCGTCCAATGAAAGTACTCCATGAAATTTCTAAAGTTGTGGAGACGGGAGTTGGACTTAAATCGGACTTCAGCAACCACAAAACTCACAACTTGAGACTTAACCTGGTAACCTGTTCAACTTCCATCCATCCATTATCTATACGGGGGGACACAAGGGGGGCTGGAGCAGATCACAGCTGTTGTTGGGCGAGAGCCGGGGTTACATCTGGATTGGTGGCCTGTCAATCACAGGGCTGACATACAGAGACAGACAACCAGCCATACTCGCATTCACAAAAGTCACAAATTGACATCAACGATCATGTCTTTGTGACAAGGTAGTAACTGTGCACGGGGTGACAACACAACTGCGAGGCTGTACGGCGCCCCACATCTTCCTTGTTTACCAAAATGCCTCCACTGCACTTAAACGTGCCCCCATTTAGATAAAGAAATGTGATCGGCCCGACCTGAAATCCATCTGAAAGAAAACCCTGCATGGACAGATATTTAATATTAAATACACATTTTTTGGGGTCTTTGCATCAAACGTTTGTGTTTTAAACCATGTTTAAAAGATAAGATAGATACAAAAGTGAAAGAAAAATGTTCCCATTCTGCAGCAGTGTGATGGTCTTTATTCAGAGGGCACATGGGGATTCTTGACTTTATTACATGTGGTTACAATAAAGTGTTTATCTCACAGGTCGGACAGCTGCCCAAACAACCACGTGTTGTTTTCTTGATGGTCCCTCATATTTAATCTGACAACACATCGGTCAGTGTCATGTGTCGACATCATTCATTCATATTAAAGGGCGGACAGACAACACGAGGAGAGGGTTGAAAATGGGTTTAAAGTTTCTGTCTGATGCAGTTTGTTATGCAATATATAAAAAGACGAATATTATCATGAAGGGCTGGGATTTGACTTTCAGTTGTCCTCATCAGGACTCAGGAGTGGAGACGTGTTTCAGATAAATGTTGACAGCATGTGTGTGTTTCTCTCTCTCTGACTAAAGGCTTTACTATCGCTCACTCTCCGCTCCGTCTGTTTCTGCAGCTCTCACCCACTGACAAGAGCCTGGAGTTTGACAGAGACTTTCGCATCAGGCACTACGCAGGCGACGTGGTGTAAGTATCTTAACGTTTTATTTATTCAGTTGAAGCTTTTAACTGTGGCTCTACCACACATTTTTACATATTCATGCCTCAGAGCTGCAAACTCAAACTACTGTTTTTTTTTTTTTTTTTTTTTTTTTTTTTTTTTTTTTTTACTTTTGGCCACTTGAGGAAAGACGAGCAACACTTATTCATTTTAAATGTTTGCCACCAGCCACTTACTTTGTGTGAATAACCATGATTCCTTACTTCAAACAGTTAAGGTTAGGAATCAGATACCCAGCTTTATCTTATTATCATGATACCTTATCAGCAGAGTCATCAAAATAAGATACTTTTTCCAATAAATCATTTTTTGCTTTATTCTGAAGGTTTGGATTTCATGCATTTTACTTTATCGTGATGTTTGACTTTTCTATTGTCCAAGAAAGGTGGATGACATGGTTCATATGAAACCAAATCTTGACAGGAGTGCAGGGGGAAAAAAAGGACAAGATTACTAAAGACTATATTATCTGTGTAGAGCAACGAAACACCCAGAATATTACAAATAAGGCTTTCACACTTGCACAAATCTCCTGAAAATCTCCTGATATTTCCCTGAGGAGTTGTATATGTGAACGCAAACAGCCGAATCTTTTTGCTCCGACTTCACCTGGAGTTTCTCCTGCCAGACCCCTAGTATTTTTTTTTTTTGTCCGAGTGGGCTAATGTGAGAAAGCAGCAGGATATTATCCGGAGAATTCAGCTTGAGCCAATAGGAGGGGGGGAGTGATGTTTAAATCCTGTGACTAATGCAGGCATAGTGTCTGCACACCACCACTACGATCTCTGAAACAGTTTGCAAAGTACTATTAAATTGTCCCCATATAAGGTTGGATTTCCACAATTTCTGTCATTGTTTCCCTTTTTTTTAAATCCATATTCAAAAGATATAAAACCAATATCAGTCTTATGAATACCAGGCAGTAAACCTGAGTGAAATGTGAGTCAAAATGTTATCATCATGCCGGATGAGGTAACACTCTGACTGCTGCATTTATTAACATCTTGCCAACTTTGGTTTAAAAAAAAAAAAAAGAAAAGATGGCTGACACCGCCTGAATGCCAGTCATCTCGTATGACCCCAAAGGGGGGGCTCAGTTTGACGACTTCATGTTAATCCTCTAAAAGAAGTCATGACTTGAAATAACTCAACACAGACATGAGGATCACAGCTGAATAATGTGAATGAGGAAAACGTGGATCAAAGAGTGTTTTATGCAGTTACATTTCCAACATGGTCCCACATTGAAGGAGTTTAATTTAAGGCGCATGTTTGATCATGATAGGAGGACATGTGCGTCCCACATAGTGGTCTGTAGAAGAGGTCAATGACATTAAAACACACCCTCTTTGGAGTCTTTTACAGAACTACAGTGGATCTTTCATATTCATAATCAAAGGACGCACACACTTAAACACTCAGATTAACTCTGCTGCACACACTCCGTTAATTCAACAATGTCTTCATTGAAGGACATCCACAGTACTGACAGCACCACTTCCCCACTCCCTGGAGTACTTGGACATCGTTCAAATGAATAAATCACAAACGCTAAGTCCCCCAAAAAAAAGAGCTCTCAGGAAAACATGTTGAGCCCATAAGTGTGTGTGCCGGGGGAGGACTCGGGCGGAGGAGCAGGGCCGGCTGGCAGGACCGATTGATCCCTGAGCCACTTTAGAGCGGCTCCTACGTCGTCTCACAGCAGGGGGTAAAACAGCAGGATCATCACTAACAGCGGTAATTAACTTCAAGCGGATATTAGCATGTTGCTTTGAGGGTTAGCTCATATTTAGACTTAACTGAGACTGAAATTTATGCATCCACTTTATCAGGTACACATGCTCATTAATGCTTTAATCTTATCAGACACAGAAGGGTAACAGCTCAAGGGAGATTAGGAAGAAGCTTCTCTCTGATTTATAACTTGTAAGTAGTTGTTGCACACCAGATTTCTTAAATAAACGGAGGCCAAAAATATCGACGTCAGTCAGACAACACATGTTTGTAATGGTTTGTGTTTGACATCCTGGTTCTGAGCTCATCGCTCCTTGCAGATTTGAGATGAGAAATTATTTTAAAGCTCCTAGTCGGAGTCTTCAGGTGGACGCTGAGGTGGCTTTTTGCCCTGAAAAAAAAAAAACGGTAGGTGGACATGGGGCTTTAAGGAGGATGTAGCCCTGGAAGTGGACTCACTGGGTTCAATTAGCACTACAGCTTATGTCATTTTCCCGCCCGCTCTCTCTCCCAAATGTTCTACTCCATCCACTGTCCTGTCTAATATTTAAAGCTAGCATATTGACATTTGAAACCCTGAATCAGATTCTCTTTCCAACATGAAGTTATAATCTAAGTTACCAACACTTCTTTTCTCCACATTGCTGGTAGCGGTCTGACCTGTGTGTGGCGTTTCCATTTTCCTGTGTTAGAAGGATGCTCTCGATAAAGTGTCCAAGAAGTGTAAACTGTGTGTTTCAGGATTATTTATAGTTGTGTGTGTGTGTGTGTGTGTGTGTGTGTGTGTGTGTGCGCATAAATTCATGAACCTTCTCCTCTCTCTTTGCAGGTACTCAGTGGTCGGTTTCATTGATAAGAACAAAGACACTCTGTTCCAGGATTTTAAAAGGCTGCTGTATAACAGGTAGCAGCAATACACACACACACAGTTTCAATCACCCCACCTGCTGCTCTGTAATTACACGACACCCCCTCCCTGAGAAAAAAAAAAACAGCACAGAGCTCGTACAACTAATCCCCCTTTCAGCTCCCTCTTATCCTCCTCCTCCTCTTCTTCTTCTTCAATCCTCTGGTGTTTTCTCTCTGCTGAATATTAATGTGTGGTCTAGTAATTCCTGACCTGTCTAATAAGCTCTTTTATAAAAGTCTTTATATGGGTCAAACGGATTATTATCTGGAGGGCAGCCATAATGCTGTAGCATGGGTGCTAATAGTTTAAAAGGCAACACCGTTTTATTGATTTGATCTACATTAAGATAAAGATTCTGCAAGGTGATCCATGAACGTCTCTGACTTCAACAAATGTTTTTTTCTTTCTCTGTCTAGTTCTAACCCGGTGCTGAAGGCGATGTGGCCCGAGGGCAAGCTGCGCATCACCGAAGTCACAAAGAGGCCGCTGACGGCTGCAACGCTCTTCAAAAACTCCATGATCTTGTTGGTGGAGAACCTGGCCAGCAAGGTGAAGCCACATAACTTTAAATGCAGGGCTGTAGTGCAGGAAAAAAACACAACTTATCCACCTCTAAAATCCTGAAATAGCAGTTTCAAAGACCACCCAGAGAGTTCGCTCAACACTCCACATCACTTTAAAGCGGTTTGTGCCCTCAAACTGAGCTCCCTCTCCAAACTTCTGCTGCTTTTTCTACTTTTGTTCTATTTCATCCAGCTAAAAGGACAACTACTGTATGCACCCATCCCCCACACATGCTTCTAAAACTAACGCAAGAAGCACAGAAATTAGTCTCTTTTATGGTTTAGAAAATCTGCTTTGTGAAATCTGGTTGTAGTAATCTGTCAAATAAAACACACAAAGAAATATTTAGTCTAGTTATGAGCCATGTTAACCGAGCATACACTGGACGATTGAATGCCGATTAACATGTGTTTTTTGAATGATCATGAAATGTTTGGTATTTTGTTTGTAAGACTGCACACACTCGTACAGTGAGAGCAAAGCCATGACTCCATTCCAAGACTCAGGGACTTTTTTTTTCCTGATTGTGCCTACAAAAACTGACAGACAGCATCCGAAATCACCATGGCAACCGCAGGCATGCCTGTTTAATCTGTCTTCACAACTCCCCATGAAAAAAACACTGTCAAATATGTTCTTTAAGGTTTTTACTTTTTGGATGAAAGCTGAAAATCTAACAAGTTCATTAAATTACTTTCTGCTCTACAAAATAAATGTCAGGAGGTTTCCATGTGTTTGAAATTAAAAGTATTTAATGAACTCACAGCTGGTTTACAGAGACAAATTGCTTCTTCTGTAATCGTTGACGTGCTGTTGCTCCCTCTAGGAACCGTACTATGTTCGCTGCATCAAACCCAACGATGTGAAGTCTCCGCTGCTGTTCGAGCAGGAGCGCTGCAAACATCAGGTGGAGTACCTCGGGCTGCTGGAGAACGTCAGAGTGCGACGAGCCGGCTTCGCCTACAGACAGACGTATCCTCGTTTTCTACAGAGGTAACAACAATATCAATACTAATCCAAGCACCCTATGTCTGAATGTGTCCCATTACATTCCAGTTTTTTGTTTATTGTATCATAAAAAACTGAATCAGCAGATTATTTTCTGGCTTAAAGGAGTGGTATGTAACTCTGACACCTAGTGTTTAAAATGGGTACTGCGGTTCAAAATTCAAAACATTGGAGAGCATTTTAAATCTTAAGAAATAAAATAAATTATATGTCACCAAAAAAAGCAGAAAAACCTAAAATTAAAAATGAAAAAAACAAACAAATAAAATGACTTTTTTTTTTACATGACAAAAATCCAATATCTCAAGCCAAAAATTGGCTAAATGCGAGGTGCAGAAATAAATCCTGCAGACCGAGGTGTTTATGAAGCTTGATGAATCTCACTGCCACACACAGACATGATCACAGCCAACTGGATTAGTGCACTAATCCAGCGATACAGTGGATTATCTGCAAAGGAAAGAGAAATCATCATAAATCATTACAATACTTTTAAATACAGCAAGACTTGATAACATCCTCCCCATTTCAAGTATGCATGCTAAGCGAAGCTAAAAATATTTGGCGCAAGTTTTTCTCCTCTTGAGGAAAAAAAGAGTCCGGGCTGTTTTCTGTCACATCAGGGCGACACTTTGGAAACTATCAGTGGACAGATGTTGAGGAGTCATGTCATCCCTGTTGGAGTCAAGCGAATAGTCAGATCAGAATCCTTTGCTCACATATTGCCCTTGCACACATTGTATAACAGATAAGATCTTAAGCATTACAAGCTGGTTTAGATTTGATTTCTTTTATGATAATCTCCGTTACAAGCCTCTAAGTGGACATCTATCTGCCTATGATTCGATCCAAAGAGCATCACACTGTGTTAGGATTTGTCCCGCCCTAATGGTCAATGACACACTCACATAAACAGATAGTAAACACCCACTTGTTGCAGCCTTGTCCTTATTCCCCAGCTGTCACATTTGCACACTGCCCTCGTATGATCTGTCATGTTGGAAGGAGGATTAGATAATGAGTCTTTTGCATAACATGCTAAAAAGAAATCCGACTCCAGTGTCACTCCAATCTCTCTCTCTCTCATTCTCTCTCTCTCACTCTCTCTCTCTGATGTTTTTTAGTCTTGGTATTACATCACTGCCTTGCCAGTGGGTCGGCGGTGAAATGACACGGGGGATACAGATTGTTTAAATCCTGGAAGACACAGCGCTGACTCCAAAAAAGCTGAATAATCTGTATTATTTAGAAATGTTCCTTGAATTTACAGCTTTTGCTTTAAAGGTGTAATAACTCAGCCGATTTATCGCACTGAAATGACCCTTCAGAGAATATTTTGACCCCTATCCCCCCTGCATTGGGCTCCAGGAGCACTGCACAAAAATGAAATAATGATTTCATGCTGCGAAGTCTCATGTTCAGGAGGGTGTCCAGACTTTTTTTGACTGAGGAGGCCCAACTGGGGAACTGACTTATGAAAGTGTGATGTGCACACAAATATATATCAATTATCTATATCATATCTACTTTATAATACAAGATAATGGATACATTAGGTTCATGTTTTAATGACACAAAAAGAAAAGTTATGTTACAGTCAGAATTTAGAGTACTGAAAAACTCCTGCACAGTCTAACTTGCAAAAATTCATTAATTGGCAAAGTTTTAGATCATTGCATGACTTTTTCGCACAGCTGTCTTTTGGGGTGGCCAATCAGATTTCCAGGGGGACCCATGCCATCCTTGGCCACCCATCTGGACACGCCCTTGCTCATGCTGGCTCATATAAAGAGAGACGACCATAAAAACTTACCTGGAGAGACTTTTTCTCTTCCTAAAGTGACGTTAAGATGTTGAGGAAATGAACGAAAGCCAAATTAAACGAGCACAGAGGAGACATTAATTATTCACTTACAAAGTCTGGATTTTTAATTAAAACAGGCAAGGCAATTCAACGGGGTTTACAGAGTAATATAAAACACAATAGAAAAACAGATTTACAATTAAAAAGAGCAATAACACAGCACAGAGCACACAGAAACATAAAAGACAGATTTGTTTTCTTAAGAAGTGGGAGTAAAATATTCACTGTGATTCATTACTCACTGAAAATGTCTGTGTTGTTCATTGTGAATTAACCTCATAAAGAGCTATAAACGTTTTTAATGTTAGTAAACAATGTGGCATATTTTGGTGGGCGGGGCTTAGCTGGAGATAAAACAGTCCTCAAGACAACCTCAATGTTAACTAGCAAATTGTTTGTTTTTTTGTGATCGACAATGGCAGAAGTTTTTGACTTCCGGGGCTTCTGCAGTTCGCCTTAAGTGGACACTTGATGAACTGCAGGGTTTTGCACTTCCACATTAGCATTAGCTTACTTTTTCAACCACGTAGGAGGTTGCTGTTAGCATAAGTTAACAACACGTGAAGAGAGTTTGCAGAAAGTTGCTGATTTCCTGCTGGACAGTTGAAGCATCAAACAGTAAATGCATTCTTGGAGAATTTCATGCAACATGGTTGGTTTGGGCTAATTTAAGTCAGGCTTTTGTCGTTAATCAAAATAATATAGTTGGGTTCAGATGTATGTATCCTAAGTTTTGTGAGGGACGAACATCCTGCAGCTGATCAGAAATACATGTTTGATATTCTTGTTAACTCTGTTCCTACTTGAAGCTTCTTCATGCAGTTGTTTCAGGTATTTTAAAGCAATGCATTTGTTTAGCTGTGCTCTGATGTATTTCCTGATGTGTCTTCTTTGTTCCCTGATTCAGGTACAAGATGATCTCAGAGTTCACGTGGCCAAACCACGACCTTAAATCAGACAAAGATGCCGTGAAGAGGCTCCTGCAGGGCTGTGGTTTCGACCATGACGCGGCCTACGGAAAAAACCAAAGTCTTCATCCGCACACCGCGTACCCTCTTCAGCCTGGAGGAGCAGCGGGTAGAGATGGTCCAGAGGATCGTCCTCTTTCTCCAGAAGGTGAGTCAGACCACATCATGGCTCAGTGTGAGCTCAGATTTCTCATTAGTGCGCCCTGTCTGTCTGCTGATCTGTTGTTGCCAGCATGTGGATGTGATTGTCCTAATGCTGCTGTGTTTGTTTCCTTTATATTGTCTTGATTTATTTAAAAAAAAAAAAAAAAAAGACATGGGAGGCTGTGAAACTGAATTGCTCTTCTGGGATAAATAAAGTCATCTGAATCTTAAAATGAAAATTATTGATGCATAATTTTCACTGAATCCATGTAAGATTTGCTACTTGTGATCATTTCCCTGCCAGATGTTCGTTGCAGAGATTTTGAGAAGCCGCCCTCCTGCCTCTGATTACATTTCTTTCTTTTCTGAATCACGTTTTTTTCCTCCTAATTTTGCCGAAGAATTTGAACGAGTTTGCCAAACTAAAACTGAAAATCCTTTTTCAGTATGTTATGATCCTCAAAGAGTTCCCATTTGTGAACATTTGTCGTTGTGAATACCTCTTAAGTGCCAGTAATCAAAAGCTATTCTTTGACAAAGGGCCTCGGTCGATCACGAGGAGTCCTGTTCTCCTCTTCTCATTGAAATTCAGCAGCCTTGTTCTGCATGTCAATAACCTCAGAGACTCAAATGTTCATACCCGTGACATGATCTCTGAGGTATTTTTTAAACTAATCTAATCTTGTTTTATCTGCTACAGTCTCTTACATCTCTCAAGGTGAAAGTCTCTTTTATTTCTCACATGAAATCAAAAGAAGCTAGGCTACATAGCAGCCTTAGAATTCCAAGCCTTAGTGACAAGTAGGTGGCTTTTACAGTTGCATAAAGTTGTAGAGTTGGCTTAAAAACAGGCCAACAGCTGATCTTATAGTACTTATTAAGTGTTGCTAGTATACACAGTATGCATAGTGCAAATATTTCCATAACTAGACCTGTACACAGAAGATGTGGAGAGAGTGAAATCTTTCCTGCAGAATGTGCAAATCTGCTCAGGAACGTGATGTTTCAGTTGGATTATATTGAGTGTTTGGTGTGTGGGTGTCGAGACTCTGAACCTTTTAGACTCTTCTGGTTGTTCCTGGTTATTGACTTTATTATTTTCTGGTTATTATTGCTGCTGCTCTTTGCAATATATACCTGTATTGTTTGTACTGCCTGAAATATGTGAGACTGAAATTAAAATCTTCTCAGAGTGATACTGCACCACTGAAAGGAGCAGTATGTAACTCTGACACCTAGGGTGTTTTAAAATGGGTACTGTAGTCCAAATTCAAAACATTGTAGAGCGCTGTCCCCCCCTCCTCTCGATGCTCACACAGGTCACCATGTGGTGGACTCTGAAGCTTCAGTGTTTATCCAGCTCTGCATGGGTCTGTAAACCTTTCTGTGTTCTAACCTCTCTCCATTTTTCAAAAGCATCTCCAATATTGATCCTAGTTTGAGCACGTTTCTGCTCGTGGAGCTTATTAGAAACATGCAGAGGCTTTTTAGGTCGGGTACAATCACTTCTATCTGAACCACTTCTCTTGCCCGCTTCCATCGCTGCAACACCTGTTGACCTGATAACTGCTCTCATATCTGGCAAACCGAGGGGCGTCCAAAACGGCCGTGTGGGGGACGATTAAAAGCGCTTACCCTCTCTGGACCAAACAAATCCAGAGCATTCAGGAGCAGAATCTAAAGTTAGAAGGAGGACATACTGGCTGCTGCATTGTTGTCAGAGAAGCCAGCACTTCAACATAGCATGTTTCCATTTCCTTCCTGTTTTTTATGATTAGCTGTGAATATTGATCCCTCTCTACGCTCTCAGTAGCTGCTTTGGCAGTCATTGGGTCATTTTGTTGACACTCTCAGGCAGAAACGTCTGCGTCTTTGTATGATTATGGTGCACACGCTGACACATGTCAGATCTGTACACACAGCGAGCATTGTGTGACTTTTGATAGATTGAGAGAGATATGTTTGTACATGTGGTGTTCTGCTCTGTCTGGCTGTCAAACTAAAGATTGCTCTATGCAAATCGCCCCGGATGCTTACGGTGTTATCTGTGAGCGACAGGCAGGAGATTGTGCACACTCTGCATACATCATCCCATTACTAACGGCGCGGCACCGTACACCTGGGAGCCGTTATGATTGACACTTAAGACAGTTTTCCCATCTTGTCGTTAGATGAGTATTATAAGTGTTTGGATATGATTCCCCCCCCCCCAACCAAATGCAGACTTGAGTATTTTCTGATACTGAGTACCCCTTGACTCAAAACCCTAAAGGAATCCTGACAAAAAACACAGGTAGAGCTTTTTTTTTTGCATTTTATGATCTGAAACCATTTGGCAGCTGGGAAGTCTTCTGTTTTAAGAGAAGACATAAGCAGCTTTAACGAGGTGTTTATAAATCATGATGTCAGATTTGAGGCTTAGTCGCCCCTGCAGTATTCGAGGCCGTATCTGAAACATTTCTGATACAGGTATCCACAGTGGAACACCTCTAATGACAGTCATGTGGTTGCATTCCTGCACGCCATGTTGGTTTTTGTGTCTACCTTTCTCAGGGAGCGTCCCCCTCGCTCTCAGACATGAAACGGTTCTCCGGCCAAATGAACTTCTGTTGTGGATTGATTGGTTGACCTCTCTATTGATCTGTGTGACCTCCTTCGTTGGCCGTTTCCACAGACACACCAGACGACTGCTCCTCCTCCTCCTCTCCCTCAGGAGAATCTTATCTTGTATCACGCAGGATAAGCAGGCTTTTGATAACGAAGGGAAAGCCCGGAGGAATCGCACTAAGACAAACATGTCAGCGCGGCAGAGGTGTCGGAGCAGCAGTATTTAATCTTACCCTCGGTCAATGTAAAGGCCGTGCGTGCAGTATGTGCTCCACTCACTGACACGCACAATCAAATAATGGTGCGACAGCAAAAACTGACTCCTGTATCTATCAGTCTGTTACTCCTTATACAAACATCCCAGCCTAGAGTCTGATCTGCTGCGCCAAGAAATCCCCTTATCAGCACCTGGCACACCACGCCAACTTCTGCCAGTCGGGGGGGGGGCGCAGTGCCAGGGCTGTCAGAGGCTCAGACACACTCCCAGTGCGTCTGTTTGCCTCCTGGATTTATAATAATACCCAATGTGCACCATCACACAAAAAATAAACACAGTCTGTGATCGGCCCACTTCCTAAAGGCAGGTCGAGTGGTCCCTTGTAGTTCCTCTGCCTTCAGATTGTGTTTTTCTTGCAGCTTTTATCTCCCTGCTTTCAAGTTCAGCGGAAATAATCAAATTAGTTCCCGATCGGAAATCACAAGAAGGCAACAACAACTCAGAAAGCCGGACACTCAAAGAGACATTTACAGAGGATAAACTTGCTTTATTTATGTGTAAAATGTCACACATTCTTACCCTTAAATGTGCCATATTGAGCCATACAGTGCGTTTAAATCTGCAGACGGTTAATGGTAACAGTTTAACCATAAAGGAAACATTGAAAGAAACATGAAAGGCAAGGCAAGTTTATTTCTATAGCACATTTCAACAACAAGGCAAGACATCAAAAAGCATCATGACAGAGGAAAGAAAAGAAACATTAAAATAGAACATTTAAAAACTGAAATTATTAAATCTGAAAATATGTTCAAATAAAAATAATTCAAATGAAGTGAATTGAAGTAAAACTATAAAAAGAGTTCAAAGTTACAGTGCAGAGTTAGAGTTTAAAATCGTATTAAAGCTGTTTAATGAAAGGCAGCTGTAAACAGGTGTGTCTTCAACCTGGATTTAAAAGAGCTGAGAGTTTCAGCAGACCTGCAGTTTTCTGGGAGTTTGTTCCAGATATAAGGAGCATAGAAACTGAATGCTGCTCCACAGTGTTTGGTTCTGACTCTGGGGACAGAGAGCAGACCTGTCCCAGACAACCTGAGCGGTCTGGATGGTTCTTAATTAATCAGGAGGTCACTAATGTATTTTGGCCCTAAACCATTAAGCGCTTTATAAACCAGCAGCAGGATTTTAAAACACACAAATGAAATGTCACAAACAAAAAAGAGTATGCGTTGTACATGAGCACAAGATCTAATATACACTCAAACAAAAACATGACCACTTTGTATCCAAATGATGACTGTAAGTGTGATACAGAGACTCGCTGTTCCCTCGCTCTGAGGATAAAGTGTTCCAGGTATGTGCTGATTTAAGAGAAAACGCTGACAGCCTGAAGGTCCTTTTTTTATTCACCTAAAATCTCTCTTTCTTCATGCAGCTTTGTTGGAGGAGGTCGTTGCTCCTTTTGGACTTTCCCCCCCCACAAACCCGGTTTCTTGTTTTTCCCACACAACCCGGCTGTTCAGCCCCCTCCTTTGTGTGCTTCCCCTCCCATCACCATTTCTCTTATGTGCTCCTACATAATCCGACCTTCCTCTTCCCGTCCTGAAATGTATCGCACTCAGCCCTGTGTGCATTATCAGTGATGTTCTACATCCTCCTGTGTTCAATCCTCCTCCTTCTACAAAGCAATCAAATTATTACCACTTTATGAAACATCGACTGTAAGAAAAAGGCTCCCTATCAAACATAAATACAGATGTTTTAAATTAAACATAAGCCTCCCCCACCCCACACACCTTCTCTCTGTGGTAAAAATGAATATTTCATAAGTTCAAGCTCAGCTATCCACATCACATTAACTCTCTCCGCTTGTCAGAGCAGCCATGATGACGAGAAGGGGAGACTCCCCCCCTCGTGTATTCTGAGCTGCCGCCTTAATTGCTTTCCAAAGCTTTACATAGTCTCTGTGCGGCGCTGGGTTTGTCAGACGAGGAGAGTCTTTATATCCTGGGGTAGGCGGCTTTCACAACGCGGCCACGGGGGGAATCAAGCTGAATGAAAAAGACCAGAAAAGGGATAGAGACGTATTTTGTATTGGATAACTCGTGTTTTTGAGGCAGTTAATTGTGCAGGAATAGATGAAATCTGAAGTTTTTTCGGACATGAAAAGGTAGTTTCAT